GCCTTCGGGCCATTATTCATTTTGCGGGCCGATTATCATCTTCCGGCCCTACTCTGCCGTGTATTAATCTCTTATTGTTGTATTATAAATAAGTAAATGAAAACTACTTGTATAATTATGTAGGTTGTTTTGCATAGATTACTTGAGTCGCTAGGCAACCCCCCCCCCCCTCAAAAAAACAAAACAAAAAACAACAACAACAAAAAAAGCCAGCATCTGTAAAGAGAGGTAAATTTGCAGCAGATGCCGGGGTAGATTATCAATTGTTTCTCAAGAATGTATGATTATAGTAAAAAAATGTTCTCACAGCATACTTCAAATGTTCATTCACTTTTCTGGACAGAGGATCTATCTACATAGAAATAGTCCGTCTTGTATAAAGCTTGTATAAAGTGATGATTCAAAGATCGTTTATCAGTCAAAGCTAAATAATTTACACTGTACACATGGAAACTTCTGAATTTCTGACATTAAAAAAAAAGAAAAGAAAAAAAATCATTTATCATGTTTTCACAAAACAATGAACCTATACATGTGTTTATTTATTCGACACAGAACACAATACAGTTAAGAAATACTTCAAACATATTATAATTCGGCAGGTTAAGATAATTTTGAAGAAGTCAGACATTGTGTCGCTTACTTTTAAAGTGTAAACATCTAAAATCTTTTCATCTCCGAAATATAGTTTAGGATTATACAATTACAGATGGTAGTTCATTAGATAAAAGTAAAAGGTTGTTGGAAATAAACATCATTCTTTTTCGATAATTATTTTATTATCTTTATAATTTAGATTTTCAAGACTCCTTTTGATACTGATGCCGAATCAGTAGCATTACCCAATTCAAGAAGAACATGTTTTTGTTGTTGTTTTTGTTGTTTTCCAGAAAGTGTTGAGTTACTCCAAATCATATGTGTTCACTAATCGCTTATTTTTCTTTCAAAATTTTAAGTTCCTTTCACATTGGGATTCGATTTCAATGTATGTCAGGTTGATAAAATTAATGTTAAAAAAATGAGTAGGAATGTGTACTAAAAACGAAAAATAAATACCCTTTCTTTTCTTTTAGATGAGTTTTTTTAACAACAGATTGGTTGACCTTTTTTCTATATATTCTGTTAAAATAAACTACAATCAATTATTATATTTTTGGTAAAAACTTTTTAAATCCCTCTAGATTAATGAAATGAAATTTTCATTTTGAAATATAAAGGTACACCTGTACACTTACTGTATCGCTTAAAAAGATATTCGTCTCATCATGTCTGATTAAATAACCTAATAAAAACTTTAAAAGTCAAATATACTTAATATAATATATCAAAATTGCATAGCTGCTTCTTTATAACAAACACAAATGTTTTGCTGCCAACTTCTCGTTGATAAATAAAAAAATTAAATAAATAAATAAATAAATAAAATAACACACTAACAATTTCTTAGGAGGCAATCATTTTCAATGACATAAATTGCGTTTTATTTTAAATATTTTACCACTTGAAATAGCTTTTTATTAATTCATAGTTTTTATCTTTAAGTAAAACAACCTCATGCTTTAGCTTAAACCATCTTAAATATCATTACTTTGTTATTTTCAAGGTTTTGTAGATCATTTTATCATTGCAAGCAGACAGTAAAACGTATGATTTTATTGCGTTTAAAGAAATAAGAAATTGCACTAGATAAAACGCCCTTTGATAGTGACAAAGACATTGGATGAGCTTTGCATAATTTTGTTTCCTAGGGAATCCATCTCAAACTGTACTTATTGTAATACCCTTTATGAGAACGGCAAACATTTTGTATGACTATGACATTTTTTCTACCCTGCCTCGGTTATCTAGGTTATTGCCCCAGCGCGATGTTTTTGGTATTTTAAGATTTTAACGAGACTAAAAGGCATAAATAATCAGTTATAAAGAATCTAGTTCAGTGAAATGAGACATAATATAATACATTTTTAGCTTTTAATGACTTTAATAAAGCGTACGGAATAATGACTGAAATACATAAAAAGAGCAGTTTCATGTTTCAATGTGAAATACTTATAAAATACGGGCTGTGTTATATAAAATATTATGTAATAGATAAAAGATACAGTAGAAGAATGATGAAACAGAAATTGAATGCTGTAATACAGTTAAACCTCGATATAGCAACACCGTTGTGAGATAGAGAGTTTAGTTCTTGCTTAGACAAGTTGCTGTAGAGTGTTAAAAATATAATAAAGTCTTACTTCGGGTTGAGTAATTATTCTTACTGGAAAAAGGATTTTCTATCCAAAGGGGCGCTCTGTATACTTTAAAAATGAAGAAAAATAAAATTATTAAAGAATGCCCAAAACGGCGAAATTAAAAATGTTGCAGGGTCGTTTTGACAGTACTGGAAGTGCAAGCTATTGTCCCTGTACTCTAGCACCGCTTAAGCAGAATTCAACATTTAAACATGGTAATGCTAACATTTTGATTTTAGAATCATCCGCACATGTGTTCATACGACGGTCATCTTGGGACTTTCAATGAAAAGTGTCATTCCATGAAAAGAGGCGTATGGTCCGCAAATAAAAGAAAGTGCATGCCCTGAACAAGAAAACAAGGGGCGAAACTAAATAAAATGGAATTTTGAAAGACGAATGTTAGTGCTATATACAACACTGCATAAACTTAAGGCTATGTATCATTTTTTTGACATAATGAATGGACCAAACATATATGGATAACATCATTTCAAGCATTATGATTAAATAAGTAGACCAAAATTATTTACAGTGATCTAAGTAAGAATGAATCAATACTGTTTAATTCCTGTTCCTTATAACTAGAATAAATAGTATATTTATTAATTCAGCTCAAACTAATCAAAGTCAATATTAAACTAAACATAAACCCGAAAGCTGCTATTTAACATAAGTTTTGTCACTATTCTGTACAAAACATTATCAACTTTTAACGTCTAAAAAACTTAATGTGCAACATTTGTATAACGGTCCTTTATAGAGCAAATACATATTGACAACGGCAACCTAACTTCTAAAAATAAGAATTCAAAATAAATTTAATATCACTTTAGCAATACCTTCAAGCAACAACGAAAATAGTTCTTTCTAAGTGTTGCTTGAAAGTTTATTGTAATAGTTATTGAAAAAACAAATGCAACTGAAATAAAGGTAAAATCTAGCAAATATTTTAATAATTATGTTGCAAATTTATTTGTTGGCTTTATTTATTACATCATAAACTTGTTAAGATCAAGATAAATATTAAAATAGAAAGCTATTTGTAAGGGTCAAAACTTTTCTACGTTTTAGAAAAAATTCATATAGGCAAAATGCTCAAATAAAATAATTTTTTATTTAAAAAATATTAGTCGTTTGTTCACTTGAAGAAGCATAAAGAAACATAATGAGCAAAAGGTTTAAAAAAATAAGTAAATATGTAGCATTGAACGTGAAATTAACATACAATCTTAGGAAAAAGTCCTAAACCAAAAATGCATAAAAGCCACTCAAGTAAAAGAAAAAAATTGGTACATGTGTATAACAAAACGTCACATTATAATCAGATTGGTTTTAAATAAATAAACGCTCGTTTACGGATTAAAGTGACATTATGTTTATGGTTTTACTATCAAGTTGAGAAAAAGAAAACACTAATGTATTGCAAAATATTGACTTTTCTAATAACAAATAACTACTAACATTTAAGATAAGATATTAAAACTGCCTTAAATATAAAAAGACTGCACCACTCTTTTTATAAACCGGATATTACCGATAAATTTCGAAAGATATTTAAAGATATTTATGTTGGGCACGGTGGTTATTAGTTATTCAAGTGACGTTTATTATGAAATTGATAACGATATGAACAACTGTAAAGTTATTTTGAATGTTACGTTTACTCATGAATGAGTATAATGTAACTTTAATGAAACGGTTTTAAATTTAAATATTACAGGAAAATTGTATTACTTTTGTGTAAGTAAGCAAACAGTGTTACTCAAATTAATAAGCAATATAATAAGTATAAACCAATATAGTAATTCGAAATAATAGCTTTAAAGAACAATTCAAATACGCAGGTAGTCTTTGCAAATATGTTTTTTTTTCTAAAAGCCAGCTTGCATATTATGCAAAAGAAATAGTAGTAACAGAAATAATTATACAATTGTCAAATAACAGTGAATAGAATTCATTTGTGCAAAAAAGCCCTTTTTACTAAAAGCCACACTTGTAAATTATGTAACAGAAATAAACAAAATACAAAAATAAAATTTGTAAATATACAAACAATTATGGTTATCAAATAACAATGAAATAATTCAATAGGGCAAGCAGTGTTTGTAAATAATTTAATGTTTCTTTCTGAAGACCAACTTGCAAATTATGTAAAAGAAATACTAATAACAGAAAGAAAAGAATGTTGTCCAATTGAAGAGAAATAATTCAACAATGCAAGCAGTGTTTGTAAATTGAATAATGTTTCTTTTTGACAGCCAATTTGCAAACTATGTAAAAGAAATACTAGTAACAGAAGAAAACAAACAATTGTTGTCAAATAACAGTGAAAGAATACAACTATGCAAGCAGTCTTTGCAAATAAACCCTTCTTACTAAAAGCCACACTTGCAAATTATGTAACAGAAATACACAAGCAATGGTTATCAAATTAAAATGAAATAATTCAATAGTGCAAGCAGTGTTTGTAAATTGAATAATGTTCTTCCCGAAAGCAAACTTGCACATTATTTAACAAGCAGCAGAAATAAACATTTCTGAATGTCAAATAGCGATTAAAGTCATCTTAGTGGGCAATGGTCTGCAAAAAGATAAATTGTATGTTTAACCAGTACGCCTTAAAAAATTCAAAAGCTAAAATATAAAAATAATGAAAAACATGTTAATAATGTTAAGAGAAACAAGTGTTCATTTATAATTTTTGTAATATAAACAAGCAGTGATTAGCAAATTTAAAATAACAAAATATATTTTACATACCTCCTCCTTTACATCCATCCGCCTTACGCAAAATGATGATAGTATGTTACCAAATGCGCTTGATTATTTCATTGGTCCATATATAAGGACTCACTGATGCTTGCCTTACAAAGCCCGATTACTTGTTATGAATAATAAAGATTTTCGCTTTTATTTTGCATAAATTATTAAACCATTTTGATACATTTAAAGTACCGATGCTGTGCAAAATGTATTTCAGACATGGCCCTAGGTGCATCATGTTGCTTTTGTTTTTCAATTAATTTGTAATTATTTCTTATAAGACTTTAACATACCAGCTTTTACAAATGATGCAAAAAGTTCATAAACCTGAAAAATTTAGGATTAATAAATGATTGATTTATATTTAGAATTTATCGTATAAGTACCTAATCTCACACCCAACCTATTCTCAAACCTTTCATTCATGTGCTGTTATTATTTTACTAGAAGTGACTATGATGTCCTGAACTTTTGTGCATAAAAGCTTAGTTTGTGACAGACATGTATGCTGATGTCAAATGAAAACAGTGCATAGAAACAAATATTTACATTACATATTTTATAACTTAGCGTGTTTTCATACAAATTGCTATTACCTTTGTAAGTCCCGTTAATACACCATAAACTATTTGTGAAAATGAATATTAGAGACAAAAATATCTCAAAGCAGGTACCTGCATCGTGTATGGTACTTCATTGTCATGTTGCAGTCATATAACAATCACTTCATTGGCTAAACTAAACAGTAGAATTTTAGGGATACTTGAAGGGTTTGAGATTAGGTTCTTTATTTTAAGAGGCCATGTCAGTTTTAAAAAAGAGGGTTGTGCTTTTTCAAGACGGAAATAGGGCTTTTTTAATTGCTGAATTTCAGTCCAATTTTACAGAAATGTTACATAAAGATTAAAGTGTACATATGTTACATGTAAGAATTTTTATAAATATATATTTTTATTTATACTAAAAGACCTCTTGAATGCTTAGAGGTTTGAGAACTGGTTAGTCCACGATAATTAATAAATTACTTTTAAATTAATTATTTGTTTGCCCTTAGTTTTTCATTAGTGTCATTCGATTGATTAATGAAAACATATTGAACATTTCATGTTCATTGTTATACACTATATTGATGTATATGTTTTTGTATTGTACATAAATTATGCATAATTATATATTTCTTTATAACAACTCTAAATGGCATATTTCATGCTGATTACGCAAAAAGTTTACCAGTTGATATAATAAATTACATGTCGTTTTGGTGAACAATTGAGCGTTTTATACTACTTTAAATATTATATGAGGGGTTATAAAACATGGTTTAATAACAAGGCTTTCTAATGTATTGCTGTGTCCTATTAATTCTTTCCTTCTTTTTTTCTTCACGATTACGTTTCACTCATGTATTGCTGTGTCCTATTAATTCTTTCCTTCTTTTTTTCTTCACGATTACGTTTCACTCATTTCTAGTTATCTCCGTTTTGAAAACTTAAAGTCCTTACTGACCTGTTTCGTGTGATATAATAAATGGATGATATAATCCGTGCTTATCCATTCATCATAAATTTGAAATGAATTGATTCGTGTTTTTATCACTCATTGTATAAAACAGTGTAAAAACGAAATCACTGTAGTATACTAACACCACCTTTGTGTTATTTGGTGTGAATTCAAAAAATACGTAACTTCAGTTTATTGTATCATTTATTGCCAGTTTATGCAATTCAATGCGTTGTATTAAGTCTATACGAATTTATTTTAGTTCGATTGTGATTGAATATATCAGTTTATTGAAACTCTCACGAATCCGAACCTGGAACCAACAAGAACTAAAAGTTTCTTGCTCAAGGAAAGAACGGCTTTCCCCTGACGGCGTTTAAAACCACGCGGTTAGCAATCCTTAGATTACAAGTCAAACGCGTTTACAACTTGGCCACGCCGATACGAAAAAAATAGCTTTTTGGAGTTTTTGCTGTTTTTTTTTGTTTGTTTGGTTTTGTTTTTGTTTTTTTTATCTGCGAGCATGCGGACCAGATTTGTATTACAGGCATTGGATTTTAATTTGCAATGTTATGATAAGTACCGGCAATTCAAAGTACAATAACAATATAATGTTACATCACCAACGCGATACTGTCACGAAAGTTTACCACAAAGATTTATGTTTAAATAAATTTATACACTGTTAACAAACTGTTTTTCTTCTTTTGTATCTCATAGCTTACATATGGATATACCAGATATTCTTCAATATATCTTTTTTCACAAAACTTGCATGTGCAAATACCAGTTAGCCCCGATTTTGGACGGGTCATAAAATGTAGGAACATATCATCAGAAAATTAACTGAAATTTAAGTGTAAGAGTTTAAACTTTTTTAAGTTCTTTTAGAACTTTCTGATCGTAGACGATTTATCTTTAAAGTGACTTTATAGTACTTAATATATAACTAATTTTTACTACAATCTCATATCAAATAACTTTGTGTCTGTCATTAAAATCATTTGTCTTCCTTTAAGATATCAAAATACAGAATATTGTGTACTAAAATTAAGTAACCCTACTGAGTTTAACATAAAACCGTTGAATACTCAACTATCATTTATTTGATACAGGTACATTTCGTCATATCATCTATTTGATACAGGTAGATTTCATAAACCATAAAAACTTCATAATGAAAAACTCCATAAGCCAACACTTACACATTATCATTTTGTCATGTACAAGCCTTTTTAAGGTTAAAGTGACATTTACCGACCTAGATAATAATAAATGAAGATATATAGTTATAATAAAATAATGTATTTTACTAAGGATAGAAAAGTGTGACAAACTGCATTACAAACAAGAATACCTGTATAAATGATAAGTAAAAGTTAATATATACGGTCAGAAAATGGGCCCTAATAATCAAATTACGTATTTTGAAATTTATAGCCTTCATATTGTTCTTCTTGACACATACACAAGTATACTAAGTTTAACATAAAATCGTTGAATAGTCATAATATTGATATTTTTCATGTAGGCACAAACACCGTTAACAAATAAACGTACAGGTACTTCAATGTGTTTGCAAAGCTCTCCTTATTACAAAATAAATACAAGACAACAATTATACAATTTATTATGAACGAATTTATCTGTTGCATACATGTATTGACATCAAAATATATTCTTTTATAATTAATGCAATTGTGAATATCAAAAATAATTTTTTTTAAATCAATGTACAGTAAAACCTGTTACAGGACGTCCATCTGTAAAGCAATAACCTTTGTATAGCAAAAGTAGCAATCTGCCTAAATTTAGACTTCACAATTTCACAAACTTCCAAGAGTAACAACTCTCATCAACTCAAAACGATGTTTTGTACTGCCGATGTTGCACTATGTAAGAATTATTACAAAAATCATTTCTCAAAATGAACTAAAATGAATCTAGTTTTATATTCAATCTACTAAATTCAATAAAATTAAACAAAAGATGTATTTATTTTCTAGACGCAATCAGTTGTATTATGTGATTACCTATTTTTCATTACAGTGTTCTATTTGTAATAATTATCATAGACAAGTCATATTTCTTTTTAAGAATACTGGATTTGCTAGGTTCAGCAAAAAAAATAAGTTCAGTCTACATTTTTACCATGTACCAATTTTAGATAAAGCCTGGTTTATATCATACATATCGAATTACAAACATACGACAAACAAGGCTTACAATATCTTCAAATAGACTCAACTTAATTCGGATGTAAAACGATTCTGATCACGATAGGAATAAACAAGAAAGTTGCGACAGTATCGTATTATAGCGTTGCTTTGGGTGTATTTTTTGAACATCTATTTTGTAAGAATTTAAACACTGATAAAGAACACTATTACATGTAACTGAAACAGGTTTGATTGCCTTTCGATAGGGATTCAAATGGAGAAAATTATTTTTTAGGTTACGGTAGTATTTCATGCTTTAAATGGTCGTTAAAAGATTTAAGCTGATGTAATAAGCTAATGGTAATTCAAAGTATTAGTTGTTTAATGTAATATAACAGTTAAAGTGTAAAACTCAATAACCGCAAAGACTGCAAAACGGAAGATATTTAAGACTTAAATATTTAAGTATGATCTCAAACTGCAGTAATAATGCAATATATGGCCTAGCCCTATTTGCACCGTCTTATGCAGAACTTTAGAATTTAAAACAAACTGAGATGTGTTTAATTGGCCGCACACATACTGTAACACATTTGCATTTTAATGTTTAACCATATAAATATTGGCAACCACAAAGTAGTTTTCCCTTTGAAGTTTGCTGCTATAAGATGCTTGAGTTCACCATATAACGCCTTTTATCTCTTAAAACTAAATTTAATTGCAAAATTATAAGCTTTGTTACCTGCATATTTTTTTATTATTACATCACTTTGATAGTGTACTATGTAAACCTTTAGATTAAAGAATGTCAAATTTTGAAGAAGAAAAAAGAAAAGAAAACGAAAGTCATGAGAAAATAGAATATATATTATATTGAATAGCGATTGAGTTTTATAAACGTAATGATATTCGACTCTTTCAAAAGTACATTTATTCAAATAAATGCTGCGTGGATGAAGCTTATTTCATTATACGCTTTAAGCCGAATCCATCAAATGAATTTTGTTATGTTATTATTAATAACAAACGATGTTTGATAGTTTGATGATTTTATAAATGTCAACAAATCTAAAACCAGATGCGTAGTAATATGGTCATCTGTAAAGACAAGTATATTTGCAACATCGCAACGGATACAGTTGTCGAAGATTATTTGATTATTGTAGTCAAATAGTTCACAACGCAATCTTCTACTGTGTATTCAGTTTCCTGAAAAAAGCGTATACACAGCAAAGAGTAATTGTTTTCCAAGAATGTATGATAAGAGCCAAATAGTTTACATCCTATTATTCTATTTTACTGTCATGAAAGGAGTATCAGTCTAAATCTACATTTCCGCTTTGCGAGCAGACTGTTGATTAGATTTTGTTCTTGAAAATGACAAATTTCCGGACATAGACGTTGAACATGTTGTTCACATTTTTTAAAGTGAACCCTAACTTGTTCAACTGAAATATTTATATGATACAACTTCACTG